ATTAGATGAAGTTTTGAATTTTGGCAACCCAAACCCAACTAAAATTAGTTAAATCTGGAATATTAAGCATTGGCTCCCTCTGGAATATTAAGCATGGTCGAGAAAAATGACATGAATAGTTTGAGTTTTGGTAACATGGAACTAACAATAAGGCTAAACCAGGAAAATGTTCATTTGAGTAACCATCCTGGCCTTTTGAAAATTTACTTGAATTCATCTTTCATAACAAAGCTATAATAATGTTATTGTTAGAAACCACAAATTCCGTTAAAAGTGCATCAAATTTACCAAACATAAGGGTCTGCAAAATTTAAATGTAAATATTTACCAAACAGAAGGCAATACATAAGTAAACATCGATTCACCATGCATTTTTGCACCCAAACCAAACAGAAGGCAATACATAAGTAAACATCGATTTACCTAAATTCAATTCACCATGCATTTTTGCACCCACCCACAAGAAATTTTCACTTAAATTGCTTCAAAATAACAGAAAATAAATATTTTCAAACTTCATAGTTGTACTTGATGAGGTTACTTCAACTCTTCGTTAATGAATTTTAACACGAAGCTGGGAGTAGTAGCAAACACATAACAAATATAACCAAGCTTTTTAAGCCTAAAAATGCTCAATATGAGAAAAACTTTAGGTGCAAACACATAACAAATAGATTTATATAAGATCAGCAACAACCATTAATCATATAAAAAATTGTGATTAACTCTTGTCTTTTGCATTTTAAGTTTTGTCTTTCACTAGCCTCAGAATAGCCCAAAACCGTCCCTTATGTTATATATCACATATATATCATTTATCATCCCATACTATCATGTAAATAGGTTTAGGTTTTAGATTTAGCTCATTGTATGCATGCTTTCTTTATTTAGGGTCAGATCTTATCTTAATCCTTTTAATTTCTTTGTGTCTAGGAAAATCATTGATATCTTGACCATCTTAGATTTGGAGGGTTCACTTTCCTCTAATATCACCCTTCTTAGATAGATATGCCTGCAAAGGAGAGATCTTTATGTTTGGTTAGACGTATAACTCCAACAAGACATTATACCCATATATATAAATGGATCAATCTCACTTGAACATACTTATACATGCTTATATTTGTCCAAATATTTTTTTTCAAGCATATCCAATTTTATATTCTCTCTCATCCCTAGCATATGTTGCTTTTGTTGAGTCATTAACACTTTAAAAGTACCATTTCCATTCGAGTGTCATTTTCACTTGATCAATTGACATTTTTATATTGACTAGGATGTATTTATATTAGTATTCAACAGTCAACACATAAAGTAGCTAATAAGATTACACTCAGGCTTAGGATTTGACTTGTAATTATAGTGTATTGACTTCATTATTTGTGAGCACTTTCATTAAATAATGAAAATCAATGTACAATAATCAAATCCCATATTGTGCTAAACATACAAACAACCTAAGATATGTCATACTAAATATTAAGATCATATATAAGGTCAATCTTTTTTTGAAAAAAAAAATATATTTATTTTATATAAAAAATAATATATGTATATATATTTTTAAAAATAAATTTTAAAATTGTTAGATTAGGATGAAATATCTTAGGATGATCTCTAAAGTAGGGCCATACTTAGTGATTTTATCAAGATCATATCTGTACATCTTAAGCTAAGCTAACTCACACATACTTAGATCATGTGCTAAACAAATACAGACATTTTTTTAGTCTAACGTTTGGTATAGTTAGGATATTTTGTATATGATCCAATTATGGTATGCTTTGTTTGTGAGGTGGCCACAAATTATTTGTTTTTTTTTTCTTATTTGTTTTTGGGTGTGAAATGGGCATACTAGATGAGGAGTAGATGCAATATTCTATTGGAGTTCATGTCCAAAATGGAGGGGTTGTAAATGGATAAAGTAATTTTGTATTGATATAAGTGCTTGCTAGCTTACCCCTCCCTCCCTCAAGTATGACCAGTTATGCCATGCATGTGACATATATACTTATGAATATTAATTTTTATTTAGGTACAGTCTATACTAAAACTAAGGGAGGATCAAGAGTTGATAGTTTATGTATCATATTTTAGATTCAAAGATATTTATTTTCATATAAATTTATGATTGAATTATATATATATATGTGGAGCTCGATTACTTCTTTTTCTTTTAAGTGGGTTGCATTGCCTTAACATAACGAGCACCAGCCTTTATATATATTCTTTTATCTGTGTTTACTTTTTGTACAAGTGTTAATTTTTTATGGTTTTTTTTGGAATAAGTTATATGTGCTAGGATTGATAATATAATTATAAAATTTAGGCAAACCCAACCTATTTCATAAAGCAAATTTTCCTTTTTAATTAACAACTTTTGGCCATGTTTCAAAACTAATAAAATAAATAATTTTTGTGAATTTTGGAATTCTTCTCGTGATTGAGAATTTGTAGGTCATAGTTTGTGCCCCTTATGCTCATCAAAAGAATGAATTACCATCCCAACATTGAACTAAGGCTGGCTTATATCAATTAAGGCTTATGAGTATATAAAAAAAAGGTCCAGCTCATAGTCATAACATAGTCTAATTTAATGCATATTAATAGAACCTCCAAATTAGGAATAAGCAACATTTTACATGCGCGTTTGAGTTATATTTAATTTTTCCCACCTAATTGGCCTCATGATTTATATTTCCTTAGGTGGTTATCTAAAGTACTTATGATGTTTATTGGACCAGATAAAATTGCACATCTTTGTAGGATAGTGTTGGTTCTTGTGGTCTGACCATCCTTTCCCCCCTTTTTTTCCCTTGGCACATTGCATATTTGGAGGGAGGCAAGTCCTGTTCCCATTCTTTCCTACTTGATAATGTCATAGAACTCTAGGTTAGTCTCATTCTTTGGTTTAGAGTCTATGAAGTTTTATTGAATGATATAATTCACGGATTAGTGGCAGAGAAATTTTGGCTATATTGGGTCAACTATCTCCATGACAAAGTAAATTTAATGTCTAATAATCCGGGATGTTGAATGCGTGAAATTGTAACTAGGTTATGTCTACCGATACTCGAAATTCATTACCTATCCATGAATACTCTTTGAGCCCATTCGTTTGAATTGTATACATTTGTTGATGACATTTTATAGACCCTTATTTTTGAGAAGCGAGCGTCCATTGAGATACAGTGATCTGCCCACCCTCTATTTAGTGGCCTAATTTAGCATTAACGCTCATGGTATCTCCTACTAAATAATATTATCCCTCAATATACTTTATTGAATGTATTAGAATATAAGAAAAGTTTCTTTAATAAATATTTTTCTTGGGTATCCCTTAGATGCATTTAACTAAAGGAATATATTTATTCAGGAGTGCACATGTACCCAGAATATATATAAATATGACTATTTAGTCAGATGTCTATATGTTTTCTAGTTTTTAAGAGTTTGTTCGTTTCAAGCTGGTCTGATTTTTTTTTACCTCCATTCTTGACATATTTCATGAATACAATCTTATCTGGATTCTCCACATCTTATTTATTTATTTATCCTACTCATTCTATTCTCCTTCATCTCTTGCTCTTGTTTATTCACATTATCAGACATTGGTGGTGTGATGATTTTCGAAGATAGGCTTCTTGAGAAGAGAAATTATAGGATGAAACACGATGAATGAAGTAAATTGAGGCACAATAGAGTTTAGAAATTCCATTACAGAGGAGACTCTATCTCTATTTTGGAAGTATTACTTAAATTCTAAGTGTTATATCATAGAATTATCTTTCAACTTTGATAATTTTATAATATGAACTTGAGAATCTATTCATAATATTTTAGTCACTATGATTAGTTTCCTGTTGTCTCTCCCCTCTACACTCTTAGCATTCAATTATTGCAACTTTCACATGTAATTGTTGCGATTGTACATTTTGATTGTATAATTTATTAAATTTGGCGACATTACAATTTCTATTTTGTATAAAATTTCGGTGTCACATTTTTAAATTTTATTTATAATATTTTCAGTTATTACAGTTAATTTAACTAATTATAGCCAATTGGTAACTTAATTACCATAATAAACAATATATAATTGATGTCACTTGTTACTCTTTAATTTCGAAGTAAAATGTTGTACTTCTACGTGACACTTTATTTATTTTATACGTTGTCAACTGATATCACATATCCTAAATTCATTCATTAGTGACTTTTTAATCACTAGATTAGGTAGTTGATTAATGTCACTTTTTTAAATTTTATTTTATTATTTTTAGTCATTCTACTTAGTCACAAGTAATTGGTGTCTTTCAACATTTTCAATTAATATAGTTAATTGTATATGATTAGTGTCATTTGACACTTAGCTATTAGAGTCAGATCTTATCTTCTTATGTAAATATTATGTGCCAGAGAATATTTTGTGGTAGAGTTATATTAATGTCTTAGCATTGTCTGAAAATCTAGTACATATACAAATAGAAGAAGAGCTAATAGATGGGATTCTAAGATTTTATATGGAAAACTCATAATGGGAAAAACTACAGGGCATAGGCTAGTTGATGTGTTTCACCTATTCATATGCATGTCACAGAACTTTGTATATCCTTCTTTATTTACAAAACTATTATAGGAGTTTGTCTCGATAAAAGTGATGGAATATTGTTTTTTATTTTTTTGCAGCTCATATCAAGCCTTCAAGGCATGATGAACCTTTCAAATATCATTTTGGCCAATTTGACAACCAATACATCAATTAGTCACTATCCATGTGCATGTGAGTTTTTAAGATAATATGTCAGATAAGGCTAGATCAACCAAGGGGCGACGGTTGTTATAATATCTCAATTGAAATACATGAGTAGGCTCTTATGCATTTCACGAGGAAGATTTTTTTTTTTTGAAGCTTTCAACCATTTAAGAAATTCTAAATGTAGGCTCTTCATCAACTACTATAGCAATGACATATATATTCAACAATAGCATCATCTTTTTTAAATTTCATAAAGCATTCCAACCTGCAAACTCTTGCTAGGAGGAATTCTCAGGGTGGCAACATTAGATCTAAAGTTCTTCTGTAAGAACCTGTACAAATTATTAATAACCCATCTTCTTAAACTCCCATTCTTGTTACTAGCCTTAAGAATTACTCTCCCAAGAACAAATATCGCACCCTTGAGGGAAGCAGAATCTAACATCTCAATCTCCTCAGCATTCTCAGCTATCTCCTTGATCACTCCTACAATTGATGTCACATATTCTTCTCCATCCATTCTATGTTGATCCATGTAACCATACTGAACCAGGCATCTATAGACCCCCTTAGGGCCAAGCTTTGCTATGATGAACCTCTCTTCAGGAAGCACAGTCCTTACTGGAAGTGTTCTTACGGTGACAAACACTGTAATTTGACGAAGTGTGCTTACATGCTGCACATAATGTCGAATTATTGGGGGGATTCCATTAATTAGATCAGTGCAGAAGATGCAAACTCCGGGGACTCGAGTGCTAGCTTCAACAAGCTGGTTTAGTTCTTGTTTGGTCATCTTCTTGCCATCTTCATATTCCCTTTTCTTGCTTCTTCCATATGTCCATGAGAGAGTGATCACCAAGAAGAAGGCTGAGATTGCAAAGGGGACCCATCCTCCATGTGCAAGCTTGTTCAACAATGAGCTCATGTAAACTCCTTCAATGCTGACATAAACTGAGAGGAATATCCCCACCAAAATTATGTTTGTGTCCCATATAACAAGCATCACCACAGCCATAAGTACTGTTGTGATGAGCATCACCCATATCACAGCCACACCTACAACATCAAACTTGTCATATTGTTTTTAAGGTAAAATTTTAGAAGTTGAGGAACAGAGTATTTCTACAACAACATGTAAGCTCACTTTGTGTCATGCATAATGAAAGCGTGCAAAAAACAGCTTACCAAATGCATTTCCAATTTCCGCTCCGCCGTCGAAACCAACTGTGATTAGAATGCACACAAACATTAGAAAGTAGTTCACCTCTGGAGAGTAGACTTGCCCCTCATGCTTTCTTGAGGTATGAATCATGGTCACACGTGGGAAGCAACCTAGTGCAATGGATTGTCTGATGATTGAGAAGCTTGCAGATATGAGGGCTTGGCTTGCCACAACAGCTGCTAGTGTTGAAATGAGAAACATGGGCCAAAATATGGGTTCAGGGACAGAGCTATAAAATGCTGTGCTGATTTTGTCAGGGTTCTTGATAAGGAATGCAGCTTCGCCAGAGTATGCGAGGACCAGTGCAGGATACACTACCAATGTGTAAGAAAGCTGCAAGGATGAAATATAATTTCAAGCAACAGAAATGAAAAGATTTAGGGTGCGTTTGGGGCAGCTCGTGGCTATCCAAATAAGCAGTTTATCCTGAAATACGACCCGCGACCTGTGTTTAGTATAAAAACCCAACCGTGAAACGTGTTTTTCAAACGGTGAGGCGGCGTTTCCGCATTTATAAGCTGCCCCAAACGACCCTTTAGTACTTAGAGAATGACTTGCAGGTAAAATTTGAGCATTAGATTGCCTGAATTCCTCTCTTATTAAAGTGACCGAGATCAGCAAACATAGCTTCAGCTCCTACAAAAATATAAATATTCACTAAAAATCATATAGACAGATAGAGCGGGGAACTTAGGAAAATATACTGACCAGTGATGCAAAGAGCAATTGCACCTAAGAGTTCCCATCCCTTGCTGTGGTTTCTTTGAAAGAAGTAGAAAATGTAGTGAGGTGACAAAGCTTTTATGATTGATGGGTAAAATTTGATGATGTTGTAGAGGCCAATGGCAGCAGTAAATGAGAACCAAAGGACCATAATTGGTGAGAAGGAGAAACTAACTCTGTTTGTGCCAAATCTCTGGAAGAGGAACAAGATCACAAGGATTGCTACTGATAGGAAGACAACATGTTCTGCAGATCCAAGAGCCATTTGTTAATATTTCAAAATTTTTCTCAAGGAAAAAAAAAAAAATGGAAATGAAATGAGAGAATTTGAACATGCCTTGTTTGATCTTAGATGATCTTGATTGGATTCCCTGAACGGCAGAAAGAACTGCAACATGAATTAGAGATGATATAGATAAATGGATTCAAACTATAATTTGTGAGTCTGTGATGCAAGATCTTCATGTATTGTGTAAATGTAATTTATTTATGAAAAAAAAGAAAACAACAGAAATACAATCAAATAGGTACCTGAAATGGCTGGAGTTAGGGCCCCATCACCAATAACCATGCAAGTCCCTAGCAAGACAATGAAGGTAATCACTGCCTGGGCTTTCGAATTCTCCTCAAGGAATTGCTTTGCCTTAGACTGTAACTTGCTTCCTTTGCTGTGGTATTTTAGGTTGAAATCAGAACCTAGTCTTGTGCTTGGAATTATCATCTTGCCTTTAAAGTTTACATGTTGGCGAAGCAAGGAGTAGAGAGCAAAGGTTCCACCTGAAACAAGTAGTGCGACGAAGTCATACTGATCCTCTCTCTCTCTCTCTCTCACGCACACACACATGCATGTGCGCACACACGCACGCATGCGTATTTTGCAAGACTATTTGCCCAAAATTCTGTCATATTTGACAACTTTTAGCCAAAACTAACTTGTCACATAGCTAGCTATATTGAATCGCTCTTATCTACTATTCCATCTTTTAGTATATATATAGCCTTCCTTGACCATTGATGTTGATTCATGCCTATAAATATATGGCCAAAAATTGCTGTTGATTTGACATCATTCTTTGTTTTTAGTTGAAATTTTCATATATTGAATCATCTCTAATATTCATCTTTCTTTCCTTCTCTCTTTGGAGCTCAGTTTATTTATGCATCTAGATCCTAACTTCTACACATAGCTATTCTGAATCCAACAATATATCAATAGTATTATTTGTCAAATTTATCAACTATTATGTATTTTATGAAATAAAAACTTTATAAATATGAGTTTGATGATTGAAGTGAAACTAACATACCTTCTCCATGATCATCGGCATGAAGGACAATGAAAACGTATTTTATTAATCCCATCATGGTCAAGGTCCAAAAGATCAAGCTCAAGATCCCAAGAATGTCTTTTTCTCCAGGCTCCGATATCCTGATCGAGGAGAAGACGTAGAGAGGCGAAGTTCCAATGTCTCCATAAACAACACCAAGAGATTGATATCCCAACATCAGTGTTTGCAATACTGTGAATACCTATAGGATTAAGCAATATACACCATTAGATTTGTAAAAGAAAAGAAACTACTTTGTATAGTGTGTTTATACACACGCTACAATAACGATTAGAGTATCACACTCTCCACCGGGGGGAATCGAACCGCAGACCAGAGTGGACTTTCAACTGAAAAACAGATGTATGACCAACTGATTTGAGTACGTGGCGCAAGATAAGATCTATTAGACGTGCCCCGACCATCTTTAGGTGTTCTAAATATTAGAGTACCGAACCCTACACACGGGGGGATTCGAACCCGTGATCTGAGGGGACTTATGATCTTCGGAGAGGCTACTCTACCAACAGGCCACGGCACACGCACATTATTGCTATATATATATATATGTAAGTGAATTTACAAAGAGGTAATTAACAAGCGAATTGATATTTATTAAAAGGTAAAGTTCATTAAACTATATCAACAACTTATTAATTTAAAGGATGATTTACAAACATGTCACTCAATTCTCATGTATTTACGTATCCAACACTTAAACTTCAATTTTTACATACACACTACCTTAGCCATGCATGAAAAAGATGCATTTCACTTTTTAGAAGCAAAATTTAGTTGTTAAATATGTAAATACATAAAAATTATGTGTCATGCATGTAAAAGCCTCTAGTTTAAATGGAAGAATACCTTTGTTTTACGCTGAGGAACCTTGTAATCATCCATGAAGCTAAACGTTCTCGGTGGCGGACTCTGATTGGTCTCCTCAACTAATTCATGGTGGCCTCCATGGCCATCTTCTATGGAGTCCATCAATTTCTTCTGAACTGAAAACAAGAGGAAGATGGAAGAATGTTGAAACAAGTAATCAGACTGAAAATATATAGCAGATCCATCCCCCTGTGGAATAATCAGACTGAAAATATATAGCAGATCCATCCCCCAGTGGAAACAGATAATACCTCTGCTGCTTTTCTTATCCCCCTGTGGAAACATATATATTTTTTATTTTAAATTTGTCTGTAAACTAAAATCATATACTTTATATCATTTAAATAAAATAGAAATATGATATATTCATTTTTTTACGCATAAATTACCCAACACTCCACGATACTTTTGGCATGTTTTAGAGATACACAAAGAAGCTAGACTCAAACAATATAAGAAATGAGACATCTTAAACTTAGATTTAGTAAATTTTGAGAGGATTAAAATATGAAAATTATTTGCAAAGATAATTATTAAATTTTAATAATTTTTGATAAATTATTTACGTATTTATTCAAAATTTATGATAAGATGGTGGTATACGTTGAATCTGGTGAATTAAAAGATTTAGTAAATTCTGACTTTAATTAATGATGGAGCTTAATTGAGATTTATCAAACGAGTGAATGTAAACTCAACAATTAGTTGTTTATTAACTGATGGCTACATCACAATATCGGTAAAATATTGCATCAGGACTCCTAACTTAAAGTTACGTTCGGAGCCCAAAGAAATGAGGCTACGTGGAGGTGACCGAAAAATAAAAAAATCGTTTTAGAGCTGAGGAATATTTCTTCCGTGTTATTCTGCATTATTCATGTGTTATTATGGTGGTATTCATGTGTTATTCTGTTCTGAGAATATTCCCGATGTTATAATAACACAATAACACATCAATACCACCGTAATATCACCTGAATAATGCGAAATAACACATGAGAAATATTCTCCTGTGTTACCGGGTCGGATCACAGGAAAGCGAGCATATTTCCTTGAACCCACGTGTCCGCATATCAGTAGACTCCTAACGTAGCTCTACGTTAGGAGTCCTAATGTAATACTTTTCCATCCTTGTAAATTTTATTATGAGTTAATTTTGTAAAATTACAACCAAACCTTTTTTTTTTAATGAATTTATGACAAAGCCTTCATGTTAAAAAAAAAAATAGTATACTCAAAATATAATATTAGAAAATGTTTATAAAGTTCACAATATGATAAACTTTGTATGGCAGGATTTAAGCAAAATGTACCAAACCACTTAAAAGCCAAAATGTACGAAAAGTTAGATTTTTTGAGTACGAATTGTACTACTCGATTCCCAAAGTGCATTCAAAATTCTAAATAGTTAAAATTTGCTTCCTTAATTTGCATCGTTTGCTCCACGAAGCTTTTTTTTTATCAATAAATTTTCTCTTGCTAAGCTGTATTTTGGATCTTATAAGTAAGGCTGCCAAAAACTCTCGTTGTTTGCGAACAGTTCGTATTTGGTTTGTCAATGAGTTCATGTTCTATTCGTTCGATAAGTAAATGAGACGAACGTGAACAATTTTTTTTGTTCAGTTAAATAAACAAACCAAACACGAACATTGATGTATTCGTTTGTGTTCGAATGATTATTGTTCGAAATATAGAATAATTTAAAATAATT